ACGTACACGCGGCTGGTGTGTGTTCGTATTTATTCTCCCGGACTCTCCAACTCGCCACCGATCTGTGCAGGGTCAACACAACCCCCCCCCCCCCAACTGTTTTCTTATAAACAGCGTCAATGATGAGTGGATGTTTTTACATCCTCCGAATCTGTATTAATACCGGAGGAATCCGATGAGCTATAAAGCTCTTTTTCACAGATGTCCAGTAGGGTGCAGATCAGAACGTTACAACAACAAATCATACAAAAACACGATAGGAGTGCAAATTATAGGCAAAGTAAACAAATTACTTAAAACAATACATATACAAATAAAACTAAACCACGTTTTTATCTTAATAGGTAAGGCTCACTGAGCCATTCGCTTCTTTTTCAGAGAGCGACCTGGCCGCAAATGATATCTCAACGAAGGTGGCCGATCGCGTGGACATCCACAGCAGCTGTTTGCGAGCTAGCACGAATGCACGCTCACGCACAATGGGTATCTTCGTTTTTCTTTGTCAGGCTCGAGAAACTAAAGGCGACGTTCTCATGATGGCACCCGCACAGAGCCGCAGTCCACGATACAGCCGCCGACGCACGCGCCCGAAGCCACACTCATTTGTTGACATCTTCACGCCCGACAACGAGACGTGCGTGCAACTGCTTGCCAGGAGGGAAGTTTTACAAAACTTTAGGCGATGGATCCGCTGCCTGTCACGAGCCCGAGTCTCCATAAACACCGTGGAGAGTCTCCATCATCGGGTGACGAGAACGGCGCCCGTCGTGGAAATGTGGAGTGTCCATCAAACTGGCTTCAGGTTCACCGATTGTGTGAGCAGGGAGATGCTTTAAGTTAAATATGACTAAACACAACACATTTATATTTTATTTGTATGTATCTCTTTATGCAAGTCAGTTGATCGCCAAGTCTCATGTGGTAGGGTAAAGCGTGGGTACTCCACATCTTTCAAGAAGTCTGTCTAGACTCTAGAGTATACCTCCTATCCTCTAGATAGGCTGGTGGAGGCTCTTCTGCTTGTAGGGATGTGTGTTGAACGCCTATCACATCAATGATCACACCGTACGTAGCCAACCGTGCTCATCGAAGATGCAGGGAAATGAGGAAGTAATGCCGGGGCTGAACCTTTCGCACAAGTGTCACCCTTTAACTTAACTCTTTATCCAACGTGTAAACATTAAAATGCAACGTGCTGCGCTACAATACGCTGTTTTCTCTCCGTCTTTGCGGTCTTAAGACGGTTATTGAATACCGTTTCTGGTGGGGATTGGTGGGGGCACCTGAGCTGTGTGAAAGATTGATATTCGTAGCGGGATGTTAACTACCTCGCCTGGTATGCAGGAGGTCGTGGGTTCGATCCCGAACCTGTCACCCGCTGTATTTTAAGTTTGCATGTTCTATACCCATGGTTGCGTGGATTTTTTTCTCCGGGTCCTCCGGTTCCCCCACCTCACCCCCCTCCTCCACATCCAGAAACTTGCGTTTCGAGTATTCGGCTGTCTATAAATGTCCACACGACGACAAGTCACTTTGTCGAGCTATCATTTGGGATGGCCAGGTCGCTTCTAGAAAAAAAAAACAGCGATACAGCTCAGTGAGCCTTACGTGGTAAAATAATAAAAATGTGCTTGATAGTTTAAGGGGCCGTCCATAAATGACGTCAAGCACCTTTGGGGGGGGGGGGTCAGACATTTGTGACGGTGGGGGGGTTTGAAAAATGTGACGTCACATCAAAATGCGCAACTTTAAATAAATATAGACAACACGTTCTACTTAATTAAATTTACTTTTTTTTAAATATATAAATGTTTTCTCCTACAACATCAGAGTGCAGCGCCACATTAAAGCGATTTGAAGCATGTTTTATTTTCAAAATGGAAATATGGTTTTGGGGGGAGGGGGGGGCAGAGCTTTGTGACGTCATATTTGAGGGGGGGGGGGTCTGACTTTTTGTGACGCCGTGTGACGAGGGGGGAGGAGGAGGGGGGGCAAAAATCGTCCAAAATCGCGTGACGTCATTATGGACGGCCCCCTAATATTCGGTCATCACTAGTGGTCGCGGGCCAGCCATGCGGCAACCTTTGCCATTGAAAGGCTTTGCGCGTTGCGTGCTCGAGGTTTTTGTTTTTGTGTTCTTCACAGGAACATTTTTTTTACCGGTCTCGACGGCGGGCGACAAAAGGAAAGCAGACAATGGAGTCACGTGTCATCACCCACCATTGACAAAAAAAAGCTCAGAGGAGTTTTTTTTTTGAGGTTGGGGGAGCGTGGGGGTGGGGAAGTGATGAATGAACGTAAAAGTGGCCGCACTCGCTGGTCGTGAACTCTTATCACACACGACTTTCAGGGTTCACGGGTGACCCATTGAACGAAGTGGCCTTATTTAGCTTGAAATAGTGAATCGTGCGACCGCCTAATAATGCATCGTCCAATTCATTTTATTTGTGAATAGGAGCCAGGGAACTACTGAGTTATGGTCCTACGTAAGTTTTCGCGGTTGTGCTTTATAGCCCCGATTCAATTTCCTGAAGAAACTCCCAAAACGTTGAGCGAAACGTCGGACATGGTGCCGAACAGCACGCGGCGCAACCCAAGAAAACATATCTGAGGGCTATCCCATTAAGTTTCAGTATCTTTTTTCCCATCATGAGACCAAGTCGTCTGTACAAGCAGCAACTATTTATTTTTTGTAGCTAGTGTGCCCAGCTGAAATAAAACTTAAACTGAACTATTTTTTATTTAACCAGGTAAGGCCCCGCTGAGCTATGTAGCTCTTTTTCAGAAGCGACCTTGCCACAAATGATAGCTCAACAAAAGTGGCTTATCATCGTCTGCTAATTTAAAGCAGCCAAATACTCTATAAACGCGTGTTTCTAAATATGGTGGGAAAAACCGGAGGACCCGGAGAAAAAAAATCCATGCTACCACGGGGGAGAGAGACACGCAAACTCAAAATCTACAGCAGGTGTCAGGGTCGGGTTCGGGATTTAAGCCACGACTTCCTGTATACCAGGCGAGGGAGTTAACATCTCGCCACTGCGGTGCCAAAGAAACGGAGGCACTCACCCCCAGCTGGGTGACCCTGAGCCAGTGTCGTGGATTTGCACCACTCCAAGGTGGCGGTCTGCCTTTCCACGGCACCACTGATGCGTGCGCATAAAGCGCCTTTGTCACACCGCTGCTGGATTTAGGGCATCACTATTTGACGAGACCTCACCGTGCTGATCAGCGCGGGTTGGTGAAGGCGTGGTGGAACAGTGGTACGAGACAGTACAACGGGTGGGGTTTTGCTGCACTGCTGCCCACCGCTAGTCCTGCAGACTGTAACTACCTGTTCGTACGTAGTGTGTTTGTGTACGTTTAACTTGTGTTGCACCGCACGTGTAGTCAACCCTGCTAATCGGATGTGTGGGGGAAGGAGAGCAAACTAAACACTATGTTGGTTAAATTTTGATTTGAAGCTTTCGTGACTGCAGGGATTCATATTCTTGGTTCTTTCGGTAAAGTCACGTAGAAAGGAAACAATAAAATAATAAAAATATAAAACAATAAAATTCTCACGACGTTTCGACTGCAACACAAGCAATCATTATCAGGTGTGAAAACCACAGCAGTCGAAACGTCATGAGAATTGTATTTTTATGTTTTTATTATTTTATTGTTTCCCTTCTACGTGACTTTACCGAAATAATCAAGAATACTATGTTGGTTAACCATGCAGGGGGTATCCAGGCTTGGACACCGCAGATTCGGAGATCTGGCGATATCTGGGTGATTGTTTTCCAGAAGCCAATGCAATCATAGTTGAATAAGGGACATGTTCGATGACACACACCATAGTTTACACTTGTGAGTTCAGTCACAGGGTCATTTAAATTCTCCTTCTCCAGGGTAGTCCAGATGTCCTGTGACCCCCCAATTTAATGACCCCTTACGTTTTTTCCCTTTGCTTATTTAAATTTCTGTTTTCACACCCATCGGTATACAAAAAAACAATATTAATTCATAATAAAGGTTTTTGGGTTAGATCGCGTTATTTATAAATGTGTCGTAACCCTCCACTACCCGACAATATTAAGTTTTAGATAATTAAATGGGGGGTCACAAGCCACATGAACCACCCTGTCCTGCAGAATATGAATGTTGATCCTGTTCCGCAGGGCTAAAGGTATGCACCTGCATATTCTGGTTCAGAAAGTAAGCCCGATTGCCAATCTATGCAACCAGCCACATGCTCTACATGTTCTTGTACATTTCCATGTGTTGTGAAGAATCACTGACGTATTGCATATGAGCACAGGATCACGCTGTGGTGTAATGGTTCGCACACGACACTCGCTCGTTTGATCTCCCAGCGCAGCAGTTGAAACAAAGGCGACACCACGGTTGGTCAATTGGCAGGTCGCGATAGGTGGGTGTAAAGTGTGGATACTCACACCTCTTGCAAAATGTCTGGTCGGCATGGAAGAATAGGATAAATATTCTCTAGAGAGGCTCTCTGCAGCTGCTTCTCATGGCGGGGCTTCCACCAGCAGTGGCGTGAGCAATAGATTGCAGGGCTGCACCTTTTCCTGTTAACGTGTTATGCATGTTGAACCTTTTTCGCACCGTACCTAGCCAACCGTGCCAATCGGAGGTTATATACGAACACAGGTTTGTGGGATTGGGGTGTGGGGAGACCATATTAAGCACCTGTTATAAGGCATGTATCTATAAAACATCAATACAAATTCTACAGTAACTTGATTCCTTTACTTTTGGAAGTTGCAAATGAACAAAAACAATATTTTGTTTACTTAAATTAGTCACGTAATTTAGTTTTTTGATCAGTGTTTTGCATGCTATGTCAATATTCAACTAAAAAGCATCACGTTAAAATGGTGTCACTGTATTTTTTTCTAAAATATCTCTCTCTGTGTAATTATCCACATTAATTTTAGCACGTACAGCTGTTATTTTTAACAAAAATTATAAAAATAATAATATAACATCAATCAAATTGGGTGACAGAGAATGCACAGAGACATGTTTTGTAACGCTTTGCCTTTGCTAATCAGACAAATGAGAATCGTTCGATATGTTTCAGTCTTGTCCTGAAAACTCACCTCTCTAAACTGGCCCTTTAAACCCCCGCTAGTGCTTTCCACTCACCCTGCTGGTTTAAGTATTTAGTCAAGTTAGTTATAGTTAGTTTAGTTGCGTCTGTTGATATCCTGAGTTTCCATACACGGTGGTGGCGCGTTGGGATCTACGGATAAAATGCGCCGCTTAATAAATACAAATCAGATTTTATTTTTTTTACCATTAAAGCACACACAAGAGAACTAACCTCGAAGCAACTCTAAATAAACAAAAAAAACCCCGATCCTTAATAGTCAAACATGTGACCTGAGTAGGGCGTCCTTGACTTGTGCCACCGACGTTCGTGTTCATTTTGTTGTGATGTATGCAACTACCACGACTACTACTACTACTGTGTGTGTCTATTAGATCGTATCTTACCTGCACGATCAGGTAAGATGGGGGGGGGGGGGGGAGTAGCCTTCAGAATGCGATGGGGGGATGGGGTGGAATTTTTTTCCTATCACCCAATAATACGCTTGCAAGCGGGGCCAGTGGCCTTATATATATATATTTTATCAAGCCTACTTGTTTCTTTCTTCCTTCAGTAATGTTTCGTGGGATTACGGGCGGCTTAAATAAAGCATGGCCCTGCAGGGAGTGTCATTAAAGATGCAAGCCCCACAATCACAGAGTTCAAATGGACAAATGTCCAACTTGGCAGTTTCAATTCACTTCCCCAATAGGTCAATTATTAGATAGCCCTTCTAGGCGATTCGCCTTCAAGCACACAATTGTCCCTTCAAAATCTGCCAAACCTTCAAAGGGCCCACTTTTTTTTACCTATTGATGCATTTTTCATCCACCTCCTTTGGTGCCTTTGCGGGTTTTGATTGCTGTGTTTGTCAATGCGTGTTCGTTCCACGTCCTTCCACGTATTATGCATGCACTTACCGTGTCTCGTCCCTTAATCAGTTGGATCTTCCTATGCTTTTTGTTATTCGCCGGTTCTGGCCGGATGCCTGGAACACAATCAGTTCGTACGCTTATCTTTCGCGAGACAGGACTACACGCCACTGTCAAAACACACGTGCGCATTAAGCTTCGCAACACGTTTGGAATTGGCATATGCTGAAGCATGTTAAGAAATACTGTGTAAGTATGCATTTGTTGTCATTATATGTCTGGTACATTGTTGTTGCAGTGTACTCAATTTGGAGACATTGCACAACACATACCGAAGGCGACGCAAAATAACACGCTGATGTTTACACGTGTGTATGATGTTACTATGTGTGTGTGTGTGAATGCCTCCTTTCGTAGATAAATGTTAAATACCAAACAGTGGCTGCTGTACTCAGATGTGTTTTCTGGTCGTACCGCGTGTTGCATTGCACGATCACAGTTCCTGAAGAAGGTGCCAGCACGAGGAGCGAAACGTCGAACATGATGCTGAACAACGCGTAGTGCTACAACCAGAAAACGCATAAACACAGGGCCACTCAGCACAACCGTGAAAGCCTTACTTAGTGCAGAACTCTCGTACAAAGCGGTGCTCAAATGATAGAGTAACAGCCGGTAATTATGTTTAAAGGTATTTAAAAAAAGAAGCCGAGTAATGGATTGGTAAAATAACTTCTGTACAGCGATCACATTTTTATTCTGACAAAGGCCCTTTGCGGCACGTGTTTCATCTGTTTACAAGGACATTTTTTTGGAAAAATCAACACTTGCCAGAGTGGCTTATTTTTCAGTGTTTAACGTTGAACAGGGCAACTGTGTAGGCGTCAGTGGGCACGATCACAGCCCTGATGTAACACGGCAGAACGGGACGGGACAAAGGAGAGAGAAAAAAAGCGTGCTTTCTCTGTTCAACCCTAACCCCTGACCCTAACCCCTGACATGCATTGCCTCCTAACTGAGGGCATCTACTTTCAAACGCCAATGCGTATAAAGCATTATTTTCACGTGTTTATGATTGTGAATTAGTGACGCTATTTTTCTCAAACGTAATGGCCTGGTGTAGTCGGAGGGCATATAGAACGAGGTTATTTCGTCTACCTACGAACTGACAAATAGTACATGGACGTCAGCGTTTAAAAGTACAGCTTTGCAGTCTCCTCTTTATCCCCCCGCTATTGTGTAAGCTTCAGCAGCGATGTGGGCTGCAGACATGTGACTGGAGGAAATTGGTTGTACAAATGCTACCGGCTTTGTTAAAATGGAACATTTCTAGAACTACCCAGCAACCGCTTTGACCAGGGTACATTTTTTGCACCGTAAAACATCCGTTGAACAGGAGAGACTTCAAACCCGCAATGCTGTTTGCACAGGTGTTGTTTCACAAGTTAAACTCTAGCACTTGCCCTGGTGAAAAAAAAACATTTACTGCATTTCCGTATGTGTAGTATTACACTATGTAAAAAAATACAAATTCCTGCTTGAAGTTCTGGACCGAAATTAGACTACACCACAGGATAGGATATTCCAAACACACGAACTGCATTTGTATCAACTGAACAGACTGTATTAATAATCATAAATCATATAATTTCCTTACATGTGGTAAAAATATATGCTGTAGAGGTAAAATAAACAGACTTCAACCCATCTCTAATAGCAGTAGTTACTGCTCCTTTATCACAGATGAGAGTGCGTTGACAAACTGCAGCGCTGTTCAGGGTATGGTTAACTTCGCCCATCATCCCTCTGAGCTTAATAAAAGAGAGTATCACTGAAATGAGAGTCCATAGTATTCTCTCAATGGACGCACTGGCCCATGCCACTTGGAATGTGGAATGTAGTCACCTGTGCATGGCTCGTTTGAGTGTGGAAAGTAACGTATTTGCCTTTTTGATCGATTGGTATAATATTCTAAACTTCTGTCATTAAAATAGCAATTTTTTTCCCTTTGTCAATCTATGGTGCATAAAGGGTTCCCCAAGCCATGTCGATATTGGCGTCGTTAGATAATACATCACCACGCTGGTCGCTACAGATTGGTGATGGGTGGCCCAGAACTGGTTTAGTTGTCGCGCAAGCCGTGGCTGAGAATCAAACCCATGTGGCCGGAATCGTAGCATGTTGCGTGAACCACCTCCGCCCACCTCTCCACCCACACGAATAAACCATTCAGAATCAGAATATATATTTATAGCGGAGGAATCCGATGAGCTATACAGCTCTTTTTCACAGATGTCCAGTAGTTTCACAGATGTTCAGTAGACACATTCAGCTTACACATTCAGCTTACCAGCATTGATTGCACTGTGCGTTATACACAATGGTGTGTTCCACGTGCACGATAGGCTGCGCACGAATGTAACTGCAGTGCGTGTATTTTGCAGTGCGTACACGAAAATAAAATGCGTACAATTTCACATTTTTGTACGTGGGCTTGAAAATGCCATCCTTTTGTAAGTAAAAAAAAATCCATCTGGCAGCTTTTTCTCGCAGGCTTTTCATTTTATTGCAATCTCTTTTCAAGCCCCCCCCCCCCCCCCCCCTCATCGCTGCCACTTTAATTTCCTCTGCTTTGCTCAAAAACACAGACATCTTTCCAGCAGCAGAGACTTGACATGCAGGAAGCTCGGGGCCAGGGGGGGGGGGGGGAGGAATACAAAATAAAATAAGCGTTGCTTCGGGTCAAGCGAGCCCACACCGAGCGAGGGTGGCGCGGCAGGGACAATCATTTGCAAGTCTCGTTGTTGAATAGCCGCGTTGTGACCTTCCGCAATCTGTGTGCTGGTGTATTGTCATATTGCAGAACCCCACCAGCGGATCAGCAACATTTTTCATGGGGGGGGGGGGGGGGGAGGGGGGGGGGTGACGGCGGTTCTCTTTGAAAGGACAACAAAAGCAAAAACAAAAATGTGGGCACGCGGAGCTCAGGAGGGAGGAGTTCTCGCTCGTTCGCATACGACTCGTGAGAGACGTGACCTTTGCGAATGACAGAAAGAAAACAAGCATTGTCACTTTGCAGTCACCTGTCCAAGCGGAGCTTCCGAGCTTCCTTCTCTGGCTCCAGCAGGTAGGAAGCTCCGGTGGGGGGCGGGGGGGGGGGTGTCACAATCGCCTGTCGCCATCTCGCAGTCGGTCGGCACGAGCGTCGTCTGTTGGTGCCACGCGATCGAAGCAGGCAACGGGGCCTCTCGAGGCACGCGAGCGCCGTGACAGGCCACGACGACTCCAGCAGCAGCAGCAGGAGACTGCCGCGTGCTGGAAGTGTTGCCCCCTGTTACACCGGGCTGACAGCGACACGTGTTTGTAGAGGGGAGTTGCACAACACCTCTCCCAAAGGTCAGTGTTTTTGTGTGGGGGAGCTGGCTGTGGGGAGCGGTAGTGTAGTGGTTAGCGCACAGCGCTCCATGACGTCCTCCGATTTTTGACGATTTTTGACCTCCCCCCCCCCCTCTCGTCACACGGCGTCACAAAAAGTCAGACCCCCCCCTAATATATGACGTCACGTCACAAAGCTCTGCCCCCCCCCCCCCCAAATAAAACATGCTTCAAATCGTTTTAAACTATTGTCACTGTAGTGCGTATTTAATGTGGCGCTGCACTCTGATGTTGAACGTGTTGTCTATATTTATTTAAAGTTGCGCATTTTTACGTGACGTCACTTTTCACAACCCCACCCCAACTCACACATCGTCACAAATGTCTAACCCCCCCCTAGGTGCGTGACGTCATTTATGGACGGCCCCAAACCCGGCGATCCGAGTTCGATTCCCGCTCACGGCCAGCATCGGTGACGAATATCTGAACTGGGCTTCCCCAAATGAGTACCTGGTGCGTTGTGTAAAACATCGCCACCAGGGAGACAAAGGCGGCCGGGCGTGGTGCTGGCCACCCACCCCCTCGTGTGCCGTGCCGGCCTTCATAGGTGCTACTCGCTAACAGCACTTGCCCCAACAGACAGTTCAGGCTATACGGGGGGTTCTTTATCTTCCTGGGGAGATGGTTGAAGTGCCATCTGCTGAGGATGTACAGAAGGCGATCCAGAGTCTTAGACCAGGACAAGCACCGGGCAGAGATGATCTCCCAAGCGAAGTGCTGAGGGAGGGTGGCGTTAGTGTGCAGACTGTCTTACATGACATCATAATAACAGTCTGGACCAATGGAAAAAGGTTCCGCACGATTGCCCTGGTGGTCCCCCTCTTTAAGAGGGGGGACTGCACAGTTTGTAACAACTACGGGGGCACCTCCCTCCTCAGGGTGCCTGGAAAGGTCCTGGCAAGGATTATTCAACATCCCCTTGCCAGGCACGATGAGCAGTGGCTTACAGAGCCCCACTGCGGTTTCAGGCCAGGGCGGCCTTGCACAGATGCCAGATTCTCTGTCCGTCTGCTACAGCAGAGGTGTAAGGAATTCAAATAGGACCTACATCTCTGCCTTTCTTGGCCTGTTCAAGGCAATATTATACCATCAGTAGGCCTGGGCTCTGGGTTGTTCTCCGTGATTTCGGAGGGCAGAGGAGCGACGCAGCAAGTTGGCACAGTCGGGGGCACGGGTGGTGCATCTGCCAGTCATCTCAGTCAGTCGCCCCATGGCACCTGCTGGGTCTGTCCCGTGACTTCCTGCTAGCGGGCGTTCGACACTTCACGTGGCCTTAACGTGCACCTAGCCTGGCACAGGCGCCGCGGTAACGTCGCTGCTATTTCGTGGCGAATGACGGTTGTTGTTGTTTGGGGAGCGGTAGCGCAGTGGCTAGCGCTACGCTGCGCTATGAACCCGGCGACCCGAGTTCGATTCCCGCTCACGGCCAACACCAGTGGCGATTTTCTGAACTGGGCGTCTCCTAGGTCGACTCAGCCTCAAACGAGTACCTGTTGTGGCGTTTAAACATGACCACTGGAGAGACAAAGGCGGTCGGGGGTGGTGCTAGACACCCACCCCCTCGTGTGCAGTGCCGGCCTTCATAGGTACTTTTTTTTTACAGCACTTGCCCAAAAAGTATATTAAGGCTATACGGGGCATCTTTGTCTTTGTGTTCACTGGTAGGGCAGGAGTACATTTACACAAACAAAATCATGTTATATATTTTTCAACGTATGCATGTATGTTGAACTTCTTTCGCACCGTGCGTAGCCAAGCAACTTGATTTTATTATTTCTGCAGGCAAATGACTCTTCCCTGAGCTCCCCGAGACACTGATCAAAGTCACTGTCGGGCTCCTCCGAGAGCGTCGCTGCTGCCACGCTCAGACACCACAGCTCCACGGTGACTGATCCCGGTCGTGGGGTAAACAATTCTCCCTTTGTGTCGTTCTCTTTTAATTCTTCTTTTATAGACATATCGCGCTTCAACGACCGTTCCTCCAAGTACCGAAATGAAACTAGATTGTTTGGCACACCGGTCTTACGCCCGTTTAATTCGCTCAAGGAACAAACAGGACTCTGTGTTATTGGCCAGGACAAAGCGAGGGAGTTAAGTGCAGTAATGAGAAGCAGACAGTCATATTGGCAGATATTGCAGCTGCAGTGTGTCGAATTCAAAACAGGTGAAGGCGCGTTCGTTTTTTTTCCTCTTTTGACACAATTCATGCAGCAGCAACAACAACGCAGAATCTCGGTCCGTTTTCAAGCCTTCGTATTAACAAAGCCTTTGCATCGAGAATGCCTTCCCAGAATTCTAAATACCGTACTCTCAGGATTATAAGATGCACTTTTGTTCCCGCCCCCTGTATTTGAAAGCAACAATTGCGCGTGCATCTTGCAATCTGGTAGGTGTGCGATTGCGTGTGCGAGGCTAGATTTGTGCAGCTCAGTTTGACACCGGGCACAAGTTTGGAGGGTGCGTCTTACTTTCAGAGCGTTGTATAATCTGGAGAACACGGTCATGGCCACTGGAAGTAATTCTGAAGGGAATAGGGCACCGAGTATCGAAACGCCAGAACCCAATGCAGCATAAAGGTGGCATCAATGCATTAAATGCCATCGCGTTCTCAACTTAGCCACTTGCTCGGCACCAAAGGTCACAGCAATGATTGGCTGAATGCAGGGCATGCAGTCACTGTTTAGTCTGGCGCAGTGACAAAAAATGCCTGGATCTATGCTTGAATACACATGTCACAGGCATATTTGTTCAGTCTACAGCAGATACAGTCGGGTCTCTTGTCCTGGCAACT